CCTAAAAAGGGGGACATTTTTTTTTTTTTTTTAGTTTTACTCATTTTCAAACCGGGGCCAAGATTCGGCCCCGAGGGCCCGTAGTTAGTTTGCCCACGGCTGATCTAGGGCCTTAGTTCCCAGGAGCTGGAACAAACAAACTTATTCAATCTCACTTCCAGATACGCTTCCCTCTTTCATCTTATTCATTCATTCAATAAGAATGTATTCCAGATGATACCAAACTCAGGTTTGACTACCTGCTGTTTTAAAAGCCAATACTTGAGACACAGGTGCTGATGTAAGGAAAGATAGTTTATTCAAATGCCGGCAGCCTGAGAAGATGGTGGACTCCTGTCCTAAAGATCTTCAGCCCTGGCAGGTGTGATCAATGGTTAGAGCATCCGCCCATACACCAAAGGGTCTGTGGTTTGACTTCTGGTCAAAGGCACATACTGGGTCAGGGAGCATGTGGGAGGCAACCAATTTATGTCTCTCTCTCTCTCTCTCTCTCTCTCTCTTCCTCGCTCCCTCCCACCCTCTCTCTTCAACTCTCTCTTTAAAAAAAAAAAAAGAAAAAAAAACATTAAAAAAAAAGGAAAAATATCCCTGGGTGAGGATTAACAACGACAAAAAAGACCATCTTCACATCTCAGTGCAGGTGGGGTTTTTTATTGGGAGGGATAGGGAAAGCAGAACAAAAAAATCAGGGGAGAAGGGAGTTGAAAATTTTTTATGTGTAATTCAGCACAGTCCATTCTGATGATTATCTCGAAATTGGTCTAGTTTTTATGATTGACCATCAACAAGTCTCCTAGAGCCAGAACGTCCAGATACTGGACTCAGCTTCCTTTGAACTCTTACACAAATATGCTACTTATCTATGGGTTACATATTAGCTAACAACTCACCTTTTACAAAAACATTTTTTACAGAAACAATATTAAAAGAATGGAGGGGTGGGTTATACGGGCACTGTTCTCAGTGATAGAGTTGCAGCTGTGACCAAAACTGAGAAGGGTCTCTCTGCCTTCTTGGAGCTCATATTACTCCAGCCAAGCCCATAACGCTCCAAGCCCTTGCACACTCCCAGGCCTCGGCAAAGGCTGTTCCCTCTTCTATTCTTTAGTGACTTCTCCACCTGGGGGACTCAGCCTCTAACACCCACCTTTCCCTGATCTGCCCATGGGTTGGGTACCACATAGGATCATCACACAGATGACCACCATCCAGCTCCACATATATATCTGCGTTCCCTACCAGGCTCTGAGGGCTTGAGGGAAAGGGCTGTACCCCAGGGCCTGATTCTAGATGCACCGGCCCCAGGCTCCCATTTCCTAACCCCAACTCAGGACTGAGCAGGAGAGGCATGGGGGGTGGGGGTGTGTGTGTCCAGGACCCCTCTGAAGAATTCAAGGTCATTCTGGAACCTCTGTCTGGGACAGCCGTGAGCAAACTACGGCCCGCCGGGCCGGATCCGGCCCGTTTGAAATGAATAAAACTAAAAAAAAAAAAAAAACGTACCCTTTTATGTAATGATGTTTACTTTGAATTTATATTAGTTCACACAAACACTCCATCCATGCTTTTGTTCCGGCCCTCCAGTCCAGTTTAAGAACCCATTGTGGCCCTTGAGTCAAAAAGTTTGCCCACCCCTGGTCTGGGATCATCCTACTCCTGGCATCCCAGGGGAAAGCCGCATAGGAGCAACGGCACAGAGTGCTTCCAGCATAGGCAGGTGGAGGATTGAGGGGAGACCGGACGGAGAAGACAGAGGGTGCACAGGGCTATGAGCACTGGGTCAGGACATCAGATCTGCACATGGAAGGGGATGTTGACGGGTTTCAACGGCAGGAAGAGAAGGCAGTGGCCTTCCCCCAAGAGAAATATGTTGGCAAGCATGGACCTACTCGAGGTAAACCTTAGTGGCCCTTGAGATTTATGAAGTGAGGGAGACAAAGTAGTTTCCCATTCCCTCTGGCTTGCTCAGGAAAGCTGAGCTTTGATTATTCAGTCTTGCTCCCTTTTGCACCCCCACTTCTCCCCTGGTTGGGTGTGTGTGCAGAGGATGCACAAGACAGAGTGCAGAAGGCTGGGCCTGTGTCCTGGCCCTAGCCTGGCCCCCAAGAGCCAATGTTGGTGCCATGTTGCGTGGATCTTCATGCCCCCAATCGCAGCCTAATGGCCCGGCACCCACTCTGCCCCAGGTCCACTGGGCTGCTTGTGTGTCATGGGAAAGCCAGAGGGAGGGAGGTTTGTGCTTGGCCATTTCGCTGGCTCATTCACATGGATTTACAAGGACTCATTTCATGCCTTCCTGCACACGGCTTCCTGACCAGCCGCCAGCCTGGCCCTTCCTGGTGCCTCGATACAAAAGAGTGTGTTCTGTCCCTCAAGTTTCCTGCTGTAGGCTCAAGGGGAACCAAGAGCGTCCCTGCAGGAAAGAGGAGGCCTGTTGAGGTCCAGAGAAGGCAGAGACCTCACAGAAGGTCACTCAGCAATCCAGGTGGGCCAGGGCTTGAGCCCACACTTTCTTTACCAACCACTCCTAAAACCCACTCCTCTGTCCTTTCCCTTTAGAGCAGTGGTTCTCAACCTTGGTTGCACATTAGAATCACCTGGGAATCTTTTTAAAATCCTGATTTCTGGGCCTCATCCTCCGGAAATTCTGTTTCTTTGTTATGGGGTGGGGCCACAACATTAGTAACAAAGAAACAGAATTTCCGGAGGATGAGGGCCAGAAATCAGGATTTTAAAAAGATTCCCAGGTGATTCTAATGTGCAGCCAAGGTTGAGAACCACTGCTTTAGAGGGACTCGCTTGGGGGTGGGGAGAGCCCAGGAAGCCCCTGTGCTGCTGTTGCGTGGCTATGAGCTGGGAAAACAGAGATGGGGCCAAGATAGAGACTCCGAACTCCTTCCAAGACAAAGTAAATTAGTCTTATAACCCAGAACAGTGTGTCAGAAGGGGCCTCCAGAAGCCCTAGTCCTGCCCTTACCTCTTACATAAGAGAACGAGGCTTAGGAAAGGCAAGGTCTGCTTGGGATCATGAAAGGTGACGGCAGCCCAGAGTCTCTGCCCCCAGCCCAGTGCTCATCCTGGTCCCTCAAACTCCTGGACTCCTGGCTCCAGCACCTGCTGCCATCTTAGGTGTGGGAGAGGAAAGAACCAGGCAGAATCTTCAGTGTGGGGCTGGCCCAGATCACAGGGCAGTGCGGTAGGTGGGGGCGATTCCAGCCCTGTGGGGTCTGCCAGAGCCACCCAGAAGCTGGGCTCAGACTCAGAGAGAGCTGTCTCAAGTTCCATACCCGCTTCCAACAGTTACTGCTCAGGAAAACCTCCCAGCAAACCCCAAAAGGCACGGGCCCCTGCCACAAGGGGTAGGTGAGAAGGGAACGAAGAGGAGGGGAGATAAAAATGGAGGGAGGCGCCTGGAGGACATCCAGGTTTCTCTCCAAATCCCCCACTAACCCTACCCTTCATCCCTGGACCCACCCACTCATACCCCTGGACAGCTTCCCCACCTCTCACCCAGCTTCAGGGGCCATTTTTCACACAACCTTCTGGGTTCTAAAACCTATTTGCTTTACCTTTGAGAGAATTCAAGAGTGTCTATGTTTCAAATCCCACCCCAGCCCTGTCACTGCTTTGGGGTTGAAAGGTCAAGCTCCAGGCTAGCTCACAAACCCACTATCCCTTCTGTCCCCTCTGCATGCAGACCAACACCTCCCCTGCCTGGTGGGCTGAGCCTGGAGTACCTCACTCCACTTAGACACACCCTACAGCTGCCCTCTAGCTTCCTTCTATCATCACAGGTTTATCCCATGGGCTCTTATTTAACTAGCTTACTCCCTAGAATGGGAACCTAGAAGGCAGGGAGGCCTGAGGCTGTTTCTAGCATGGCCAGGCCTCCCTGGCAAGTATGGGAGATGGAGGCTGGGAAGGGGAAAAGGTGAGGAGAGGAGGACTGCAGGAGTTGTCTGGGCTCCAGAGTCAATGGCTTGGCAGGCAGTGCACTGCTCAGGAGCATTGGGTTCAGATCCTGCTCCTGCCTCTCACTAGCTAGGAGCCCTGCTGAGGGTGTCCTCCCCTCCAAGGCTCTACGGAGAGGGCTAGCGGGGGGTGGGGGTGGGGGGGTGGGGGGGTGGGTGATGCTCACACAGGCAGGAGATGGAGTTAAAACAAGAGCCCTCACCCTCACCCCCCTGAAATGGCTTTGAAGGGAAGGAGCAGGCACAGGTAAATAAATAGCTCGTTTATTAGTAATATGTTACATCATTAAAGTGCATTGAAAAGAGATGCAGGGACCAAAGCTGGAAGGTCGCCAGCCCCAGGCCCTGCCGGGGCTGGCCAGATACACCAGAGAAGGCCCAGCTCTCTGCTGAAATCCAGGGACAGAGTTGGGCAGAGCTACCCACCTGGAGAGCTTGGCCCAGGCTGTCCCACTGGAATTCACAGTTTAGCCTTAGTTATAGCATGTCCTGAGCTGAAGGTGGGAGGCTAGGAGCATGGAAGCACAGCCCCTGCGCAAGGGGACTGAGGGGAGGGGGCCCCGCCCCCCAGCCCCCAATGCCAAGGGCAGAGTCCTGGAACCTCCCCCTGAGGACCTGACTCCTATATGAATGTGTGAACCTAGGGCTCAGTTTTCTCCTTCATTTTCCCGTCTCCCTCAACCCACCCCCCTCCCATAACCAACAGGGGTACTTGGACAATGTACCCCTCAGCCTGGGCTTCCAGGGCAGAGCCAGCTCATGCCATCTCTTTGAACCCATGCCACCATATCCCTGGACTCTTATCCCATGCCCAAGAGCCTCAGGCTGGGACCCTCCCCCCAACCCATCCCTTTCTAGCCCCTCCCTTCCCCACCCACCCCCAGCATGTAGTTTTGGTATTTTCATACAGATGCAGTCGGAAGTAGCAGTACATGAAATAAGCCTAACATAAAAATAGAGCCCTTTCCGTCCTCCTGTCCGGAAAGCAAACATCCTTCAATAAACATGCAAGGAGGCTGCCTTAGTGGGATCCAGGGCTGGTGAGGGCCACAGAGGGCAGCCTGGGCCTGCAGGAACACCAGCCAGCCCCTGCAGTGGCAGGAGAGAGGATGAGGGGGCAATAGAGAGCTTGAAGGTCCAGAAACGGGATCCCAGCTCCCTTTTCCCAACCCTTCTCTGGCCCACGGGCTCTTGGGCCAGGAGCATCACTGAATTTGGGCAAGTTTGAGGAAGAACTTTTGAAAAATAGTCTCCAGAAGATAAAGTCTTGGGCCATCTATGCCCCAGCTTCATAGTCAGTGCCTTCATTCTCCAGCCCCCACCACCCTGCCCCACCTGGGCTCAGCAGCTGCCTGTGGCTGGCCATCTCCAGGCCTGGTGTCCCCTGGCAAGCTATGCAATCCCCCTGGAACCAGTGGTGGGGCAAGGAGCTCCCAGCCGGGTGGCTCTGGGTGTGAGACTTTTCTAGTGCCCTGGGACTGCAGATGCCCACAGCATGCCCAGCCCCAGGAGGCCCTAATGAACCAGTAGGCCAAGAATGAGTGTTGGCAGGACCCCCAGCCAGAGGGAGGCCAAAAGGGCATGGGCACAGCCCAGCAGGTGCTGGGCCTTGGCCTCGTCCTCAGACAGCAGCTGCCAGTGCTGGGCCTTGCGAACGTAGGAGCCCTCCTGGGCCTCGCAGTAGTAGTGGCCATAGTGACCATCCGTGAGGTTCTCGATGAACAGGATGCAGTTGGGACTCTGGTGGCCGGGCTCGCATCTCTGCTCCACCTTCTCTCCGTGGCGCCACCAGTAGGTGGCATGGCGGGACTCCATGGGGCAGCTCAGGTAGTAGCGAGAGTTCCGGGCTAAGGAAACCTTCTGAGGTGGGGCCTCATCTGGGAGGGATGGGTAGGCAGCGGTGAGAAGAGGCTGAGAGCTCCCAGGGCAGGCTGTGTCCTCCCCCAGGCCTCTAAGGCCAAGGCTTCTAAATGAACACAATAATCTAAGCACCCAGTCTCCTTATTCTCCCCTGCCTCCCTCACCCCACCCTTCTTACACCACCCCCACACTAAGGGGGCTCCCTCCACAGGACTATCTGGGGCCCCCAGGAATAGACCAGGTTTCCCTCAGAGAGAGCAAGCGAAGCAAGGCTGTACCACCCTCATTGGACTGGGGCCCTGGGCAGGGCTAAATCAGGTACCTGGCTTTGGGCTGGGGCACTCTTTGTGTGGCTCATCTGGATTAATAGACTGCAGCACTGACCTGGAGTTGGGAAGAGAGAGGCTAGACAGACAGGAGGCCAGACACCTGGCCCTTCCCCGTCCTCATCCCGCACCCAGTATCCACCACAGTGCCTACCAAGAGGAGGGTCTGGCTAGAATGGCTCAGTACCCAGCACTGACTCCTCTTGTAGCCTATTTACATCACCCCCACCCCTGTGTCCACCTTCTCCCAGGGAGAAGGGTTCCCAGCCAACATACCTTTGGGAGCTAAAGATGGAGACACAGTGGCCCTGGTCCCAGCCACAGTATGGGTCTCGGGCCATGAGGCAGCCATGGCAACCCCCACCATAGATGTCACACAGGTCCAGGGGCACCTGGCTCACCTCCCATTGGGAGCTTACATACAGTTTCCGCTGGAATGAGAGACTAGGTCAGACCAGGGCCCCCATCTCCAACACTGAGTTTTAAACTCCCAGGCCATGGCCAGCTGCCCTATGGCCCAGAAGCTCTGAAAAGGACATGTGAATTGCATGCAAAAGAGCTCTGTCCTCAGCTGGCCATCACTGGGTAGCCTCACAGGGCAGGGCTGGGGGTGTGGAGGCTCACCCGGTCAGGGTCCAGTGACATGGCCTGGATGGCTGCTGCACGACGGAAGGGCTGGATCTCCATGATGTTGAAGACGAGGCTGTGTTCCCACTCCTCTGACTTCACCACCTTGTGGATGGTGCCCCTGTCTGTGGGTGGTGGGCAGAGGGTCAGCAGATGGGCATCCCACCTCAGAGACAAGCAGCCTCCCTCTACGTAGGACCAACCAGGAAAGACATGGGTGGGGAGGGCTGCGAAGTCATGGCTCAGGCAAGGGTCACAAGACTAGGTAAGGTGAGTATGAGGGATGTGGGAGTCAGAGGGCAGCCCAGGAAGTTTCCAAGGCTGGCCCAGAGCTCCGTGAGGCCCTGGGCAAGCTGGAGCATGACTAACAGAACCAGCAGTCCTGCACACCCAATTACTATGCTGACCCTTCATTACTTCTTTCCTCCACATCCCTGCTTGTGAGTATTATCTTCCCCACTTCCCAGATAAGGCAATGAGGCTCAGCAAGTCTAAGCAACTTGTTTAAGATCACATAGCTGGTGACTGCAACCCAAGATGTCAGAATCTCACCCCTCAGCTTCTTCCATAACTGCCCTGCCTCCTGGACAACTTAAGGATATGTTTTCTTTAAATACACCTTTTATTTTGGAGTAATTTCAGATTTACATAAAAAATACAAAGATAGCACAGAGATTTGCTGTATACCATTCACCAAATTTCCCCTAATGCTACCATCTTATATAACTACTAGAGGCCCAGTGCACAAAATTTGTGCATGGTGGGGGGGGGGGGGGGAGGCAGGGGGTGTCCCTCAGCCTGGCCTGCACCCTCTCCAATCTGGGATCCCTCTTGCAATCCAGGACCGCTGGCTCCTAACCGCTCGCCTACCTGCCTGCCTGCCTGATCACCCCTAACTGCCTCTGCCTGCCAGCCTGATGCCCCTAACTGCTCCTCTGCCGGCCTGGTCACCCCTAACTGCCCTCCACTGCTGGCCTGGTTGCCCCTAACTGCCTCTGCCTCAGCTCCTGCCACCGTGGCTTTTGTTTGGAAGGACATCCAGAAGACATCCAGTCTAATTAGCATATTACCCTTTTATTAGTACAAATTCATGCACGGGTGGAGTCTCGCTGGCCCACCCTGATGGGAGGGGAGGGGGAGGAGAGGAGCCACGGGCAGTTGGCTGGCCGGCCCTGCCCCCCGATCAGGGTGTTGGGGCCTGATCGGGGCCTGAATCAGGCTTGTTGGCTGCTGCAGTGAGCGTCATAGCCTCTGGTTGTTCCGCCGTTCCAGTCGCTGGGCTTTTATATATATAGATGGCACATTCATCACAACTGAGCAGTATAGTATTATTAACTCAACTACAGACTTTATTGGGATTTCATGTTTTTGTTTTGTTTTTCCACTAGTGTCCTTTGTTCCAGGATCCAATCCAGGACTCCACGTTGCATTTAGTCTTAGGGAATTTTTAAATTTTTATAAAATCTGAAAAGAACCTTAGATTCTGGACAGGGATTTCCAAGGTCACATAATGGCTGCCTGCCTCCATGGCCAATGCTTTATCCATTCATACCTGTTGGGGGTCTAATGGGCATCCTGACCCCTGGGTCCTCCCAATCCCACATCACCTGCTGTCCCAGTTTCTAGAATAGCCTCCCTCCCTCTCAATTCCCCAAGGCATTGCTTGTTCCAAAACAACAGTCAGATGATAAGATGGTTGCTTGCCTAGGACATGTCTTTTAGTTCTGTGATGCCTCTTGCAGGCTCTGGGATGTGGCCCAATGCTTCTTTGGCCTGACAAGCTCCCAACCCACTCACAGCCCTTTACCTCCTTCCACAGCAGCCCAGTGAGAGCCTCCCATAGCTTCTCCCAGCTGTGAGAGCCTTTCGTTCCCTGCAGAGGGCCCAGAAAGCTCTATTTCTTATCTGGCTCCAATTCTTCCTGCTGCAGGTTCCAAATGGCATCTCTCCAATGGTCCTCAGGGAGAACCAAGACAACTACCCTCATCATTCAAGTGTGCTCACCTCCCAGGTCTGCAGGAAAGGAGTCCACGGTTCCCTTGGCCCAGGCCCCACCCTTCTGTCCTTGGCTCCTGCTTCCGGTCCCCCATTGTGTGACCTCTCCTCTGCTGCACCCCAGTGCCTGTCATCCCTTGTCTGACCACAACAGCTAGGCCAGCCACTGCTGGAGCAGAGCAAGGACAAGAGCCCATTGGTGCAGCCAAGATGAATGGAGGAGCAAAGAGGTATGATCTCAGGACCCAGAAACTAGACCCTGCTCCATGGGAACTGATATGGCCACTGTGGCCCTGAGAAGATCCCAACATGAAGCAACAGCAGAAATCACACAGGAGGGGTGGGGCCTGAGCCCTGGGGGAAACACTGCCCTTTTTGATGGCATCACTGCACACCAGGTCTCAAAGAAATGCTGTAGCCTACACTGATCTCCATGTTCACTCCCAGGAGTCCACTTTGCCCACAACTGGGACCAGGAAGCTGCCATAAACCTGCTCAGGGCTGGCTCTTCCATGGCCAATGGCTTCTTGGGATGCAGGGGCATCTCCCAGGGCATTCCACCCAGCTTCAGGGGTCAGCCAGACCCTGCTCTCCCTGGGAAGAGGAGGTGCCTCTGCAAGCCTGCAAAGGCTCTGCTACCTGGAAGCCCTTCCTCATGTCTCACTAAATACTGTGCATCCCACATCAAATGTTTCCTCTCACCTGCATAATCCCAAAGACAGGGAAAGGGGTTCGATTTCCTCATTCTGTCTAGCAGGGGGCCACAGAATACCCAGTGACCAGATCCTTCCTCCTGGCTTTCCACATCTCTTCCTCCCAGCTTCATGAATCAGATATCAGGACCAAACCTGCACCTGGCTTTGCTCAGACTGGCCACCTTTCTGCCTTGGAATCCTGGAACCTGCTCTTCTCCCACCCTAGGATGCCTTCCCCTCTTCGTCTCTGCCCCCACCCCCCTGCCTGATTCTTCCACAGCCACACATACTAACTCCTGACAGCTCTTAGTCATTCAATTCTTCCTTCCAGGTATAAAGATCCAACCACATGTTAATTACATTATTATTTATACCTTTCATATCCATTTTCACAAGGCAAACTAGGGGTCACGGGGTAGTCCCTCACCTGTAGTTAGGTAAAGCACGTGGAAGGTCTCCCCATGGCTGGCGTGCATGCGGTGGACAACTACTTTCTGGTAGTGGTACTTAGAGTGAAACAGTGGTGTCTTCAGAGGTCCCATGGGCTCCACCCTCTGTGCCACCTCAGGGTGACTGTCGGCCACCTGGAAGGTCTCCGTGGGTATCGGCTTCCGCCCTGGGAGGCACTGGACAAGAAGAGTAGGCCCAGGTCAGTAGGTGGCTGGGAAGTGGGGTAGGGGCCTGGGTCATGGCAGATGTCAGTGCTCACCTTGCCAGGCCGAGGTGTGGGAAGGCCTGTGTGGTAGCCCTTGAGTGAGGAAGTACGGAAGACCTTGTCAATGTCACCAAGGGAATATACACAGACAGCTGAGTAGTTCCTGGGGGGACACAGAGACCACTCAGTGAGGGGCCCAGTACTCACCCAACTCCATTCACCCAGGCCAGCTCAACACCATACAGGGCACAACTAGAGCATTCTAACCAAGCTCCCCAGCCTACAAGCTCCATGAAGAGAGGGACTATCCTAGGGGCCAAGACCAGTGCCTAAGAGTCATCAGTCACCATTGAAGGCAGAAGGGAGTAAGAGAAATTCAACCTAATTTCTTTCTGCTACAATCTAAAACCACAACCTGATAGGATCGCAGGGTTGAGAGGCCAGCCCCAGGGCAGAAGGATCCCCACGTGCATCCTGTTGGGTAATTCTCCCGCCTCTCTGGGCACAGCTGCAGGATGCTGATGCCCAAGGCCAGACCCCATGCCCTCCCCAGCCTGGCTGGATCCACCCACATGGGAGCCACAGAGCAGGGTGTTGGCTTCCCTACCCTGTCCCACCTCCCCCCACACCCAACACTTTTGCCTGCCTTATTTTCAATCAATGAGAGTGATTAAGAGATGTGAATTATCAGATGCAGGCAGTGTCTGAATGGGTGTGATAGCACCCTGTGAGGCCTCAGCAGCCTTTTTCCAGGGCCCACTACCCACTCTGAGCACACAGCTGGTAGACACACAGGCACTGCCATGAACATGTATACAGTACATGCATGTACACTAGCTGTACAAACTCAAAAACATACCAACACAAAAATCTCCCCAAGCACTGTGTCCCACCCCAGGCCCGGCAACAACCCTGCCCCCTGAGCCTGGAGTCCCTGCTCATCATCAGCCATCCCCTCAGCAGGGCCCAAGCCCTCCAATCCCTATTAGACACATAACTAATGCCAGGCTCAGCCCCAGGACAAGGGTCACTCACCAGGGGTTGGAGAAAACGCCATAGACCCTAGTGTCCCTCCACTGGCCATTAGGGTCAGGGAGTAGGAAGACATCCTGTAGCCTGTTGAAGTTCTTGTTGGTGATGGGGTCGCTGCACACCAGCATGGCCTTCAGGAAGGTATTCCACTTGGAGACCGACAGCGAACTCTCACCACCCTGGTCCCCCTGAAAGGGTGGAGGGAAAAGGAGGCCCCTCAGTACCCCCTGGGCACCTGCTGCCAGGAATGTCAGCACCCAGACTTCAGAGGAGGAAGGTAGGCTCTGAAAGGGGTAGAGACCTGCCAGGGGACCAGGCAGAGGTGCCCCGTGACTCCGGCCAGGTTCCTGAACCAGGTTCCAGCTAGAAGGCCTGGCTGACTGAGGGCACAGGGCCAGCAGTGGGGACCTGCAGGGTGAGGGTGCTAGGTCTGTCCCTACAGAGCAGATAGACTCAGACACACATTTGTCCATTCTCACACATGCACACAGGTGACACACTCGAATATCCCAGCACCTTCACACTGGTGAAACACACATGTGAACACATTTTCATACTCCCACTCACACTCATACACATCTTAGATGACTATACACTTCACACTGCCACACATGCACATGAGCTCAACCATCTTTACCCACTCACAGATGCACAGACACTCTTGTGCATATACATCCCACACACAGGCTTACTCATATATTTCACACACTCCTTCAGACAAACAGGAACTCACACACTCACAGCTATTCACGCAGAGACACACACTCTTGCCCATTCAGCCACCCACTCACCCTGCACAGCTGGGCCACGCGGGACACATTGAGAGGAGCCTCGGGATTCTTGTCAGGGTTGTCCTCCCGGAAGAAGTAGTAGATTTTGTCATCATAGGCCTGGTCTTGGTGCACGATGGTGGCCTTAATGAACTGTGGATCTACCAGTGATACATGTGAATTGGTGTCAGGGGAGCCTGCTCGGGAGACCCATTCCAACCCTGCACCACACCCTCCCAACTCTGCACAAACAAACCTGGAGCAAATCAGACCTGGAATAAAACTCAGAACATCAGGCCCAACACCCCAAGGGGTCTGAGACTCAGCACCCCATCCCACATCTGTTTTGCTCTCCCCCTACAAAGATGTCATCAGCCCAGGAGCAATGACTTCATGCCTGGGGACTAGGAAGGTCCCTGGGCCTTTATGTCACTTCTGCCTAATTGGCAGAGCCCTAATGAGGAGGAAAGGAGAGGTGCCCCCACATGAGCTCAGCAGAGGGATACACTATGGCTCCCAGGGACCCCACTCTGGGTCTGGGGCTTCCTCTGTTTTGTTACCACAGTGTGTAGGGCCCATCTGTCTCTGTACCTTTGCCTCTGCTGTTCCCCTGCTCCCTGCCAGGCCAACGTCCTCAGCTCTGGCTGCTTAGACCTGTCCCAAGCTCCCACTTTCCCACTGGCCTGTGGCCCCAGCCGCCCTTGGGGAGCCCTCCCAAGGGACATGAGGACTTCATGAGCCACCGTGGGCATTCACACCCTGGTCCACCCCAGCCAGCTGGAGCCTAACTCACTCTGCATGACGGTGTCACTGGTGTACAGCTCAATCTCGCCCTGGATGCGGCGGAACCGAGGGATCTTCCCGTTGTATTCCTGCTTCCGGATTGTAGAGTACACCTCATCCCCTGGGCATGGTGGAAGGGGCATGGGTAAGGGCAGACAGCTCCTAGAAGTCCCTTCCCTGGGCCTGGGCACTGATTTGATCACCCTCCCCCAGACAAGGGCAGCAGCCCTACCGTCAAACAGAACCAGGGAGTTCTCATCCGGGCTGAAGGGGGCATAACCTCTCCTCTCACCAAGTGACTCCACAGTGCCATTCACCTGGGGAGGCAAAGGGGGTTAGACAGCCCCATAATCCCATGACTACTGCTTCCCATGGGTGCCAGCTTCCCCTCCTCCCAAGCATTCTATACAAGGTGAGCCAGCCTCTGAGTCTCCCACCTCCTTCCCACCTTGGGAGGCAGAAACCCACCCATGCAAGAGTAAGCTGACGAGGCATATGGGAAGGGGCCTTCTCACCAGGCTCCAGCAGCTGGGGTGCCGGGCATTGGTGCCGCAGGCCAGCAACCCCTCGCCCTGTCTCTCCAGGAGTGTTATGTAGTTCTCACAGTCCTGCCCAGAAGGGGAAGAAGAGAGGTTGGTCAAAGGCCCTGGCAGGACTCGAACCAGAACCCTTAGTCTTGGGGAAGACAGAATCAGAAGGCTGAGCATGGAGGCAGTCTCCAAGGAGAGCCTAGAGGGGATGCAGCTGATCCCAACTCCCCTCAGAGCAGAGGAAGAACACAGGGACCTTGGAGAAGGACTATGTCTCCCACTCAGACTGGGAACCCTCAGGCAGGGCTGCCTCTTTTCTCCCAGACTGGAGCTCCCAAGGCAGGGCCATGCCTCCTTCCTCAGACTCCCAGGGACTCCCACCCCTTTTCCAAGGCGCCAGCCTCCCCTCTACACTCCCTCTCCTCCACTCACCTGCTTGCCCAGGCAGGGTCCCTTGGTGGAGCCAATGTTCACCTGGGGGAGAGGAGAGGAAGCATTAGTCCACCTGCCAGGGGTCAGATGCCCTGCAAGCACTGTCCATGTGCCCTCAGGACAAGCTCATTTTACAGCATAGGTGAGCAACCAGGGCTCTGAGAAGGTGAGTGATTCACCAAGGTCACACAGGCTGCTTGGCCTGATACCCAGAGCCAAGCCCAGAGCACTAGGCCAGAGATCTCAGAGGCCGGGGCGATGGGGTTCTGGAGCTCAGCTTCCAGCCCAGGCCTCCCCCATCAGTGCAGCCCACCTGGCCAGGTGGGTAAGCTCCAGGCTTTTCTCCACACTGACCAACACCCACGCCCATCTGGACTACCTTTAGGGAGCCTCCCCCAGGGACCGTTTATGGGATAAAGCGGGAGGTAGATCAGTTTAGGAGGAGATGCCAACTCCCATCCCCTAATTCCCTGAGGCCCCTCACCAAGGCCAGAAGGGAAATAAGGGGAGAAATGGGGGTAAGGGGCAGTAAGGGCCCCAGGCTCACCGTGTGCACAGAGGCGTTCTTGCCCTCGGGGAAGTTGAAGAGGTAGACCTTGCCACGTCCACCCACCCACACAGAATCGCTGCCTGGCTCATGGAAAAGCACGGTGTGTGGCTCTGCCGAGCCAAAATCCACCCGGTCCTTCCCTGCGCGGCCTGAGGAGGAGGCAATTGGCAAAAACTTGAGGCTGGGCCATGGGCAGGGAGATCCTATCCTCCCTCTCAGGCACACCGGCACCTGCCTGGCAACTAGTGCTTGGGTCTGGGCAGCAACCAGGACTCGGAGCCACAAGTGGAAGAAGTGAGGGGTACCCTGGTAGGGTCTAGCAAACAGCTGTCCTCACCCCAAAGCCATGGCCCCTACCCTATAATATGTGACCTCAGAGTAAGGACCCCTAGGTGAGCAGGCTTCCTCCCCCACCCCCCCTCCTCCCACACACTTGGCTATTTCCAAGAGGCTGGACTTAGGCAAGAGGGACCAGGACCTCCGGCGGTGCTGTTTGAGGCTCTCTGCAACCCACAACACAGCAAGCAGCCTTCTCCACCCCCTGCAGGTAGCAGGGTTCTAAGCACCCCACTTAGAGTCCAGGTTCCCTGGAATCACTTTGTTCAGCACCCTATCCCCTCCTTCAAGAAGCCTTCTCCAACTCCTCCTGGCCCATCCCAGGCCTTCGGTGAGTAGGTCAGCTCAGATCAGAGATGGAAAGGAATCTAAATGTCCATTCCCTCCCATTTCACAAATGGAAAAACAGAGGCCCAGAACGGGTATAGCACAAGGTTGTAAAGTCAGTAGCAGTCCCTTAACGAGAACCAAGCTCCTGCCCACAGCTAGACTCTGGCCTGGCCCACTATGGCCTGGTTTCATGGAGGTGCCAGCTCACCCCAGGAGTAAAGTTCCACCCTCCCTCCCCAGCAACTCTGGGATAGGATGTCCTTCACAGAGCACAGCCTGGGCCTTTAAACAGGAGGGCTGATCTGGGCAATTTTGCCCAAAAAGGAAACTCTCTGCAGATACTGCCTCTGGGGAGATGTCTCATCTCCAGTGACATTGCTGAGCTTGTCCTGGTTGCAGAACTAAATTCCAGGGATGGGACAGCTCACATCTTCCCACCTCCGACCATCCTGAGGCCTCATGCAGGAACTTGGTCTGACCACTGTTTATTCAGCTACAGCAAACTCCGGGCTAGCCAGCTTAGCAGTGATACCAAGGAAGACACACTCCAGCCCAGAGAGAAAAGAACTGCCCTTTCCGGAGTCTACCCCAAATCCTTCTTGCTGCCACCTGAGCCATTCCTACTGATTCTGCATTCAACGGGGCAAGGAGCGCAACACACCTTCACTCCCTTTCCTTAAGATACATCCCTGTGTGGCCAAGTCACTCTGGAGGTGGGGTAACACACTCTCCACCTCAGCTGTAGCCTGGCTCACTGCAGAAGTGGAAACTGAGGGCTCCTTGGGGACACGCCAACCCAAGGATACACTAGGCGGCAGGACAGACTGCCTTGTCCATAACTGAGTATTGGTTCTCAGGAGCATTTAGGAAGATGCAGCACTGTGGGCCACAGAGAAGTGCTGAACTCACTGCCTCTGGTTCACCTGGCTTTCCCTGGGCGCTCCACAAACAGCCCAAGCAGCCTCCCTGCACCGTGAGGCCCACTCCCCATCAGTCCCAGCTGTGCAGGGCCTCCTTTCCAGCTGGGATAAAATTAGAGTGCTGGGGTCAGCAGCCGGAAGATACAAGGCCTTCCTGACTCAGCTCCCACAGCTCCCCTTGCACCTGCAGCCTGAGCAGCAGCCACCACCCCACAGCCCAGAGCCCAGAGCCCAGCCTGGGATCCAGACAGTCAGCAGCCCCAGCTCCCCTCCCACATCCCCAGTCAGCCAGGGGCCAGGAAAAGCTGTGTGTCTGCATCTAGAGAAGCTGGACTGGGGCAGAAGCTCTGAACCCCCGACCCCAAGGCTAAAGGGGAGGAGCCCCAACCCTTGGGCCATGCTGGCCATCTCTACCAGTCACCTCAGCCTGCACCAGCAACAAGGCCACAACCAAGGCACAGCTCTCGCCTCTGGAAAGAAGCACCAGAGGGGTCCCTGAAGGAGCCCTTGTCTGGGCGTCTGAAGTCCTGCCCAGGGAAGTCTAGTCTGATGGGAGAGGCAGTAGCCTGGTCCTGAAGAGCAAGGTCTGAAGGGAAACTGGCCCTACCCTGGAATTCAGTTGCAGGGGAGTCAGCCACATCAAAGCAAGCCTCCACAATGCTCAAGCAAAACTGTCTAGGTGCAGCCCCCAGGGCTGCTCACAAAGAATTTCTGAGGACACAGAGGGCGGGTGAGAGCTGCTGCAGCTCCATGTGAGGGGACTGCAGCATCAGAGCCAGGACAGATTTGCAAGCCTGAGCCCTATTCCTCTCAAATCCTGGCTGCAGCCCCTGGGCTGCAGGGGAGGCAGGGACTACTGGCCCCATTTTGCAGATCAAACAGGAGCCCAGGAGCATTGCCTCCACTGAACCCCAGGCTCTCGCCCCTCACGGCTCTGCGCCTGGTGATATGTTGGAGGGGATGGCACCAGTCCGGCACCAGGACCTGGACTTGGCCCATTCTCCACCCCAGCCCCACCCCTGCTCCTGCACAGCCCAAAGCCCTCAAAGAGCCTGATTGTGCCTGGGAAGTGTCTGAGCTCGATGAATACATGAAAGGAAGCTTTGTTCAGGTTGGCAGGAGCAGGGGCTGGGGGCTCAGGGGCAGGAGGGCTGCCTGGAAGTGAAGGCAGCACCAGGCCTTTGGGGCCAGGATCCGTAGCCCCATGGCACCAACATGGGCCAGGGAGGGGTCAGCCTTCAAGGCTCTGCCCATGCAAAGCAAGGCTGGGACTGCCCCTAAAAAGGCCCAGCCAAGGGAACAATTGTCCTTAAACACGTCTTTTTGCTTCCTTATGAAATCGAAGAGATGGGGAAGGCAGATTCAAGCTAGATGGATCAGGAACAGGCAGAAAGAGAATTAACTTCGCAGGGGAAACAGGCTGAGCAAAGCAGGGAAGCTGACTGGATGGTGAGTGCAGAGAACTAACCAGAGAAGATCAGGAAGGCGGGCTAAGGACCTGTGTGATGGGGAGAGGAGGTGCTGCAGCCCCCCAAAGATACACCAACCCACTGCCCAGCAGTCTCTGGTGCTTCCCCTCCTTCCTAGAGCAGGACCAGTGTACCGAAAGCCATCCCTCCTCTAGCACCCCACCTCCGGGCTCCCTTTCCTGCCCAGCCCCCTCTGCTTCCCATCCTGGATATCTAAAAGGAGCACCGTCTGGCACCACCGTGTCTCCCCCCTCACTCTCCAGCCTGATGCATTAGTGGCTGACTAAGTGGTAGCTAAAAGCTCCCAGAATAACCAGGAGTTCAGGCAGGGGAGGGGGCTAGGGGAACACAGGGTGGGCATAGCCCCAGAGGCAGCCTGGTACAAGACCCCCTCCTCCTACCCCATGTGATTCCAACCCTTACTCCTGGGTCAAGGAAGAGCACACTCAGGCTGCCAGGGCACCACGGCCCTCGCTGAGTCCCCACCCTCCTCACAGTGTCAGGACTGGCAAGGCCCAGGCCCAGCCCAAACTGAAACAAAGGTCAAGATGGCTGGGTGTGGGAGGCAATCTTCCTCAGCCATAGCCCCCACAAGTCGAGTTGTCCCTAAAGCCTGATCCTGTTGAAACCAGTCAGAGCTGATTCCTCTCATACTCGCCACCTTCCCACCACTGTCCCAGCTGCCAGTTAGCCAGGGTAAGTCTGGACTTCTGTAAAGCAGGCTTGCCGGGTAGAACACCATTCCTTCTCTCATACTCTCTGGGTGCTGTCCCCATTTCCTCTTTGCTTGTGAAAGAGGATAGCCCAAGGGGAGGGCAAAGTAAGAGCTGGAATGGGGAGGGGGTACTGTTGTCCCTGAAGGGAGCAACAAGGGACAGGCCCCACAGTCTGGTCTGGGGAGGGACAGCCTTTCAACCTGACCCACTGACCCAACAGGTCTTGAATGCTAACCTCAAGGAGTCCTTTGAAAGTGGGTATTGAGGTTGGCTCTGAGAATGGTAGGAATTCAGACACCCAGCAGAAGCCAGGCCAACCTCCAGTTGGGACTCCAGCCACAGGTGACAGGAGCTACGCCCCACCCCCACCCACCTCACACCCTTGCCTACCACACAGCTGGCAGAGAGAAGAGGAAAGGCCCACGTGGAGCCCAGGAATTAGCCGGCAGCCTCTCCACCCTTTGGAACCCACACCCTATGGGTCAAGGTGGAAGGGAGGAGATCTGAACAACATTGAGCTGAGGGGGCATAGAGACCAGAGAGGCTGTGTCAATGGCCCAAGGCACACAGCAAAGGAGACAGGGGCAGGGCAAAGTCACAGCCCAGGGTTTCTGGTACCCAGCACCCAGCTTAGCCCTCTGGAACCACATACTGGGCTTTCTTGAGAGCCTCTGGATTTGCAAAAAGCTGTATATCATCTTCTCTCCCCTTCCCTGAGTCATCTCCTGCTCTCCACCGTCCCCCTCCCTATTAGTTGAGAAGGCACTAACCTGATGACTGACAGGAATCACCCACACACCTACCTTCCAGATGGGGTCCTGATCTCCAGGGACTTTTATCAACCAAAGCCTTAAACTCTAAGAAGTGACTAAAGATGGAACGTAGCACTGCGTCAGAGCAGTGGAGGGAAACCTTTCTACTGGGATGAATGGAGTCAAAGGGACAAATGTTGCATTGATTTTGTCTCTCCTGATATGGCCCGGGATGAGGGTGTGAGAAGCTACTCTTCATACCCAGAAGCCCAGTTTCCAGGGTGGCACTGGCTCATGCTAAGGAGGAGCTGTGGTTGTTATTGGGGTGCTGGTGACATTTGACATTTGGCAGGACAAGGTTCCAGCCAGCTGCCTGGCAGGGGCAGAGCCATGCACTAGACAGGTAGCAGGCTCTTGATATGGTTCTTAGTCATGGGAAGTGAGAGGTCTGCCTCGTCTTTATCAGCAAGAAGTAATGTTCTCCCTTTGGCAGCCGGGCGGCTGGCTGGGTATGACCATGACCAGGGGCTGGGCCTTCCTGACTTCAGTTTCCTCCTCTGTGGATTGGAACAGCTAGTACTTGCTAAGGTCTAGGTTTTATGACCCACCATCAATCTTGGAAAAAT